CTGAGAGCAGCACATAGTACACTAAAAATAACAGAGATATTAACTATTGAATGCTCCTGCCCTGAGAGCAGCACATAGTACAGTAAAAATAACGGAGATATTAACTATTGAATGCTCCTGCCCTGAGAGCAGCACATAGTACACTAAAAATAACAGCGATATGAAACTACTGAATGCTCCTGCTCTGAGAGCAGCACATAGTAGACTAAAAATAACAGCGATATGAAACTATTGAATGCTCCTGCCCTGAGAGCAGCACATAGTACACTAAAAATAACAGCGATATGAAACTACTGAATGCTCCTGCCCTGAGAGCAGCATATAGTACACTAAAAATAACAGCAATATGAAACTATTGAATGCTCCTGCTCTGAGAACAGCACATAGTAGACTAAAAATAACAGCGATATGAAACTATTCAATGGTCCTGCCCTGAGAGCAGCACATAGTAGACTAAAAATAACAGCGATATGAAACTATTGAATGCTCCTGCCCTGAGAGCAGCACATAGTAGACTAAAAATAACAGCGATATGAAACTATTGAGTACTCCTGCCCTGAGAGCAGTATATAGTAGACTAAAAATAACAGCGATATGAAACTATTGAATGCTCCTGCTCTGAGAGCAGCACATAGTACACTAAAAATAACAGAGATCTCCTGTTCGCAGCGCTAGGGTGGGAGATGTATAATTTTGACTGATGAAATGTTGTGGAGGCTTGAACGAGTTATGTGATCGCATATATCGGCTTCACAGACAGCGGAGTAAGTTAGCACTGGAAAAGCATGTTTTACCCCAGTTATCCCATTAGCAGCTTTGCTGCGGTGAACTGAAGCAGTCGAATCAAAATGCGTACGATCGGATATTTAGACGATGATTATTAGTTTTGTGCATTTTCAGTGTTCCCCAATTATCTTAGTAAACATTAGAGGCTGTTTATTTGTGATTTTTAATAAAATATATCGTAAATTCACTTACCTTACAATCTGATCTTAGGTAATTTCAGTATTTAATAACATGTTTTTAAAATCAAAAGTCGAAACTGTGTTATTTAATGAACTTGAGCAAACATGAACTAACAGTTGTATTTTTTAACAAAGATTAATAACTACTGTAGCCAATGTAGCTATTGCTCATTGTTAATGTAAATGCATTAACTAGGTTAACTAATGAAATCTTATTGTAAAGTGTTACCTATTGATCTTTATAATTCTTTTACACTTTAATCTGTGATTTTTATTTATTTATTTATACGTTTTTTTGTGTATTGCTTTATTGTATTTAAATGTTCAGTTCTTTCGATTGTTATAAGAAAAAAATATATATCTGTTATACTGTATTATGACAACACGTTTTTGCAACTAAATTTCAATATCGTGATAATATTGTATACCGTGATAAAGGCATTAGCAATTAATTGCAACATGAAAATGTTATACCGTCATTGTCATGATCTCTAGCTGGATTTCCCGTGAGCTTCGCTAGAGGGCACTCCATTACAGACTCTTGCCTCTTTTCCCCGGACTTCATTCCCCACAATCCTTTGCCTGGACTCATTATTACTGATTGCATTCACCTGTGTCTTGTTACCTCATCTGTCTCACCCTATTTAAAGCCTTGTTTCTCTCTTTCACATTGCTCAGTATTGAATGTTTAGCCCGTGTCTAGTCCTAGCTCCTGTGTTTTCTGAGTTTCCGTGTTCCTTGATGCCTTGCCTTGCCTTGTTTTTGATCCTGGACTGTTCCTTGTTTTCTGATAATTTGCTACCTGCCCCGACCGTTTGCTTATGCATTGGATTACCCTTTTGTCTGCCCTGGTTTATATCTGTTTGTAGCTGTTTGACCCTGCCTGTCTGACTACGCGTTTAGTAAAGCCTGCACTTGGATCCTCAACGCCGTTGTCGCGCTCCTCGTGACAGTCATATGCCTAGTGTGTGTATATATTTATTTATTTATTTATTTATTTATTTGTTTATTTGTTTGTTTGTTTGTTTGTTTGTTTGTTTGTTTGTTAAGAGCTCTCTGTCCAGGAGAATAATGGCAGACTCCCAACTCGTGACATGGGCATGACCTCAGGACACCTACCCTTTCCCCCCTGCATTCCAAAAGAAAGGGACGCAGCCTTTTACTACCTCCCAGAAAAGCATGTGTTTCTCCTGTCACAGACAATGAAACGTACACGGACAATCATTGAAAATCATTGAAAGTATCGGAGCATAGATTCACAAATAATATGTTGTATGTCTTAGCTTATAACTTATCAAAAACATGTATTAACCCGTCGCCAGGGAAATACAAAGATTCAAGTTGTTAAAATATACTAAGAATCACCGGCTCGCTGGACGACCCTTGATTTAAAGTGTAAACTATCAGATTTGAATTCAGCTTTAATCAGGTTGACTCAGAAGTTTCAGATTCGCATCCTTTTAAAACCTGAATGAATTAATAATAATTAATTCCCTTCAAATTAAGTAATCAAAGTAATTACAGTTATTGGTGGAGAATGCAGGCAAGAGATTTGACTGAGAAATTAATGACCCCAAGATATTAGGAATTTTGTCTATTTTTATCCGGAAAAATAGATTAAAAGATAGAGAAACTGAGTTTGTTGTGTTACTGGATATGTTATTATAGCACGGCAGAGCGTGTTGAATGAAAGTGAAACTCGAGAGTTTGTTGTTTAGAATTTAACTGCATTAAAAACGTTTTAATTGTGTCCACCGATACAAAATAAGTCGCTTTAGAGCGCACATGAACAGAGAAGCAAGCGTGTTCCTTGTTCTTCTGTCTTTTAAAAGGCCTCAGAGCATGATTTGTATAGTGCGTGTCCCACTTCCAAACGCAACTCTGCTATTCATCTCCCTGGTTTGAGAATATCAGATTAGCTAGCTGATAGTCCTCTTCGGTAGATTAATTCACCTCACTCAGAACGAGTTGAGATTGTTTAGTGCTATAAGATAAGATAAGAATCGATAGTGCTTTTTGTTTGGGTAGTGCGAGACGCGCTGACGTCTCACTGACAACCACAGCTAGTAAGCTCACATGCG